TGATGCCACAAACTCTTCGGACGGTAGAAATTTATCGTAAATATATGTATTTTTACCACACAAGTAAATGTTTTTTAATAATTTAGAAGCCTAACTCTTCGTACGGTAGAAATATATCTCAAATCTATGTACTTTTACCACACAAGTAAATGTTTTTTTAATAATTTAGAAGCCCAAGTAAAGCGTGAGCATAGTTCGGACGATGACTACGACAGCGACAAGCCCCCAGAGCGTCGTAAAAAGCGCGCAAAAGTTACGAAAGCCTCTAGTAAGCGAGGCGTTGGAAGCCGGTTTTCTCGCCATAAAGGAGGGACTTATTCACTTGGGAACGTCACTGTCTGCTGCGACACCGAGTCTTCCGCCCCCGCCTGCTTCCAGCGCAACTCTGGACGATGTATTGCGTGCAATTCAGGGCCAATCTGACACTATGGCGAAACTCCTTGCTCATTTGGTTGCACGCAAGTAACAAACAAATAATGTAACGGTGATTGCAAAGTATTTTTCTGTTAATTCAAATACTTGCTATTCCACGACGTTTCAACACTGCAGTCTTGCGAATGAGAGGATTTGTTTCAGTTTCACTTTGATCAGCAGGTTGAAAATACAAATTTCTGTCACGCCGGGGGCACGGTTCAGAAAAGAGTCCGTCATTGAGATGAATTAACAGGTTATGCAACACAAAACAACATGTACAGTGAGTTGCAGCTAAAATCGGTCAGTTGCACTATTTTTTGTCTTGGATTTTGTATGTAGAGTGGTATGGCTTTCGAGCAAATTATAAAAAAATTCACTGCTTCAAGTTTGTGGTGTGATGCGACTCTGGCTTCTGATTGGTCGTAAACACCATAATTCCAACCACTCAGGATCGGTGTATCGCTACAAATATGCGTGTCATATTTCGTGAGAAATCGATGCCAATTCCTTACCTGACAAGCGCAATCGATTCAGGAGGGGGTTTACCCTCAGAAACCTCCTGCCGACTTCAACAAGCCCGCGAACACCTCGCACAACATATCATGGTGTATATTTCAAGAACACATACCATTGATATATATTAGTTAAATTTCTAACACACTTGGAATAGCCTTTTCAAATGACTTCACAATTGTTTGAGTTGATATCTTTTCCCACACACTACTGGTTCTTTTTACCATTGTCAATCGCTTTTCTTGAGCGGTAAAGACTTCGTCTCCGATTCTGTCGTCCTCTTCCAAAAGCAACGCAGTCTTCAGCATGGCTTTGAGCGGTCCCATAACGCCGACATCTAGTGGCTGGCATCGACTTGTTGAGTTTGGTGGCAGTGGCTCCACAACGCTAAACAGCGTCTCCGCAACTTTGTCGTAGGATGAATCAGACACATGGCACGCCAAATTGTCAACCAATAAAACAGAAGCATCCTCCACTTGAGGTGCAAGTTCTTCGTCGAGGTAATTGGACCAGACACGCTCGTCCATCCAAACGTTTGTTTGGACGGCATAGTGATGACCGCGGGGATACGTGTCGAGTTCTTGTCGCTCGATGACACCTCCAGGCTGTCCCTTGAGAATGAAGAGCAAGGGCAGCTTCACGCGTGTACAGTGCAAACATAAGCTCACATCATAAAGAGATCTCTTACCATCCGCTCGTATCGTCAGTACTGCTATCAAACGGTCCGAGTGTTTCTCGCCATCCGAAACCTTGCTGGACATTCTGATTTCTGCCAGTGTCTTACCGGGTGGCATATCGTAGAACACACCTGTCTCGTCCACATTTAAAATTTTGCTCTTGTCGTACTCGCTGTACTTGTTCCAGAACGACGCAGCGTAACCGAGCCACACGTCGTCAAGCACCTGTTGGGAGAGGTTGCTTTTGCATGGGACCCGATGACGGAAGCGGTGTCGATACGAAAACCTCAACAACAGCGTACGGAATGAGTTGTACCCCACAGCATCATTCTTTTATGTTGACAGGTAGTCAACCAGCCACGGCCGGTGGTGTCGCTTGACCCACCGCATGAGATGGAACACCCGGACATATCGTTCGGTGCCTTGGCGGTCTCGCATGAACGCGAGAAGTTCGTTCTTGAACGGTATGAGCTCTCGAAGGCCCTGGCCACCCAACGTTGCCAAGCGTCCGTGTCGCTTGCTTGCAAGAATCTTGGCCTCGTTGGTTCTCCATCCTTGCCAAGTCGAGAACGCCAGCTTGTTGTGGCAGAATTGACGCTCGCTCACACCATGCGTGGCTTTGAACTTGTTCAGGAAGAACTTGCGTTCTTCATTCTTGTAGCGGTTTTGGTTGCGCTTGCGTGGCCGCATTTTTGGAATGGTTGAGTTGGTTGCTGATCACTTTCAAATTTTTAAAACCAGCCAATCACAGGTAAATTTTGACGTGATTGGTTTAATTAATTACAAATACATTTAGCCAATCAAACGAGGAAATTCTACTTCGGCACATTTGGAATTTATATTATATTTGAATAGTGCACCTGACCGAGTTTAGCTGCAACTCACTGTAGTGACCGCAACAGTTTGTTCGAGAGATTTTTGATTCATCACTGTTTTCAGAATTCTAAATCGTTCTTTCAAACGGCCAAAAGCACATTCAACAACCATACGAGTACTTGACAATCTAAAATTGAAATGTTTTTGAACTTTTGTCAACACTCCACCTTCCTCATGCGGCAAAAATGGGAATAACAGCCAAGGAAGCAACGTGTATCCAGAATCACCAAGCAGAAAACATCCAGCCGGCACAAGTCGTCGAATAGTCTGACCAACTACAGATACTTTCCAAATCTTTTTGTCGTAAAATGAACCGGGACGAATATCCACAGACATCAATACCATTCGCGAATCAACAATCGCTTGCACATTCAATGAGGGATCACCATTTCGATTGTAAAATCCATCATACTCCAATGGTCGCTGTATATCAATCAGAGTGCCATCAACAGCTCCAACAACACCAGGAATTCTTTGAACTTTATAAAATCCACGTTCGACACGATGCTATGCACGAGAGTCCATAGGAAAATGAATCCATTTGTTTGCATTAGAGGAGACAACATTGACGAAAGTCGAAACCACATTCACGCACCACGACCTAGCCATACCAAATGCACCAGCGGTTTCACGATACCCTCCCTCAGAACCCAAAAAATAGAGAAAGACAGCAACTTTTTTTTCAAACGAGTGGACCGAACGACGTCGGGAGTACTTTGGCAATCGACGGCGAAGCCACACAACTATCTTACAGAACGCTCGTTGGTCACAACGAAGGTTGTCACGAAACCATTGCTCATATCGAGGGTCACCAAGCATGTCATCAAAGTTGACATTCGTAATAGTCAGAATGTTGTACTTCGAAGAGGTCGAGCTGGTAGCTAAAGAAATGCATACAGCACACACAACCGCGGCAACTGCGGCAACAACACCTCTCAAACCATCCATGGCACTCGCAACCATTCAAAGCAGGAACACCAAAAGCAGGAATGGCTTCCCAGACCAGGTAATTGGGCACTATCCGAATAAAATTTATCCGTACAAAGCAGGAATGGCTGAAAGCAGGAACGATTTTTCACAGACCAGGCCCTGAGTCGCGCACTTTTTTTGACACGGAGGGAGTAGTCTGGATTTATTTGATAGGATATAATGCAAAATCCCGTTCATTTATTGGTCAGAATCATCCATACAAACACGAAGTAGTGTCGGAGTACCGTCATATTCATCATTCACCCAAAACGTTATACTTCGTATTTGGTAACATCTTCGGTAGGTCTGCGATGACGAAAGTTGATGTAATCTGGACCACCAAGTTCTATGGACTAGAATCACGAGAAAACCATATTGTATTAAAGACCCTCACATCTCGTCGATGTCGGTCTGTTGTTTGGACTGCTTCTTGGACGAAGCGATCGCGTTGCTTTTGGCTTTCTTTTGAACATCGATGCGCGCTCGGATGGCATTGAGCGGGGCGTAAATCTCGTTGTCCATGAGCGGAAGGAGTGCGCGGCGGAAGCTGTTGTAGATGTCCGGGTTTAGGCTTTCTTCCTGGAACAGCATCTTCTTCACACGTTGACGCTCCTTGGGCTGCTCAAAGCACGCCGGACAGTTCTCGTTGATCACGGGCAGGCGCGACGAATACGCAAATTCCTTGAGCGCTTCTTCGCGGACGTACACAAGGGGTCTCAACACTTGGACGTCCTTGGTGTCATTCCAGTACTTGGCCTTCATCGTGCGGACTTGGCCGTTGTACATGGCCGACATGATAAAACTCTCGGCAAGATCGTCCAAGTGCTGGGCCAGCAGCAGTTTGTTAAAGTTGTGGGTGCGGCAGCACGAGTACAACAGCCCCCGCTTCATGCGCGAGCAGTACGCACACAGTGAGTCGCCTTCCATCTCACACATGGCGCGCTCGACGATGTTCTCGGACAGGTAATGGTATTCGACGCCCAGTGTCCGCATGTACTCCTTGAGCGGACTCGGGTCAAAGCTCGGGGTTTGCGGGTCTACCGTGGCGCACGCTATCGTAAAGCGGACAGGGGCCCGCTTTTGCAGCGTCAGTAGAATGTGCAGCAAACTCAGCGAATCTTTGCCCCCGGATACCCCCAAGAGCAGCCGGTCGCCATCTTCGATCATCTGCCACTGCATCATGGCCTGCCCAACCAGCCGCATTAGTTTCTTGGGGGGGGTGGGGAAGAGTTGGGTGGTCGTGACTTGCTGGGCGATCTTGTCGGTGGCGGCAATAGCTTGTTCGAGACCTTGAAGGGGGTTTGAGTCGGCGGTGGGGTCTCGGAGGGGATACTTTTCAGCCTTGGGGGCGATGATGGGGCAAGTACCCGTTGTGCAAACGAGCGCTGCTACTGCTGCTGCCGACCTCGCCCGAGAGCTGTCGGATTCGACGGCAATGATTGGAGGAGTCGGCGGCGCTCCATACAAATGCGGCTGAATGGGCCCCACCAAGTCTAGCGTCGGCAGCGACTTGCCTTGCACGCTCGCAAGTACTTCTGACGGGTAGATGAACCACCGTAACGACTCCTTGGACGCGTCCAACATACCCGCGTGACTCTGCGGGGTATTGTGCACCTCGGACAATGCTTGTTCGGCCAGAACTTTGGCTTGAACTAGGTACTCTGCATACGAGGCCACGGGTGTGATGGCAGGAAGCGGCGGGGACGCCAAAAAAGTCGCCTTGGACAGCCACTTTCGCGTGGGGAACTTGGTGAAGCGCGTGCGGTGCTTCCACTCGCCCGTCTTGTGGTTGAAGCGATACTGCGGCAAGAACTTCCAGCCTTCGGTGGCGACGAAATCCAACGCCGCCAAGATGTACTCGACTTCGTCGTCGTCCATGATGTAGGGAAAACTCACACGGGACATGCCAGGCCGCAGCACTTCCGTCTTGTCAATCAACGCCGATTCCAGCGTGCGTTGGTCGCGTTTGGAAATGCCAAGCAGCCGCTGGCCGTACGGACCGGCGCACTGACACCCGCCGCGCGACTGAACGCCAAAGAGATCATTCAGGAGCGCGCACACAAAGTTGTAGTGCAGGAAGCGAGCCCCCGCGCGCACCAGGAACGAAAAAATTGGCAACCGGTCCGCCGTGCCATGTCTATCATGTAGGTATAAGCCGCGCAAGATATAACCCCCCCAGAACCAATGACGACGTACCCTAGCAACACGAGGTGGCGGTGGTTTTGCAAGGCGGCGACCACTCGTTGAACGTGGCGGTGTTCGCGGTCGAGAATTGTCGCCGTGCCGATGCGCTGCTTGATTTCAAACGCCAGGCCGAGCCGGATCGAGCCCAAAGTGTCGGGCGTCCCGCCTTCTTCGCGCTCTTCGCGGTTGGACAGGTACCGATGATCGTCTTCGGTGACGTAAAACACGGTGCCGCCCCCAGGGGTCGTGGGGACGGCGTTGCCGAGCAGCCGTTTCTTCACGACGAGGACCCCTGGAGAGCCCGGGCCACCAACAAACTTGTGGCCGGACAAAAAGATCGCGTCCTTGTACACGAACGGTCGCGTGTCCCCCACCACGACGGGATTCATGTCCATCGCCACGTATGGTGCCGCCGCTGCGTAGTCCCAGAAAGCCAACGCACCGTGTTGATGCAAGAGGCATGTGATGCCGTCTACGTCGCTCAGAACCCCCGTCAAGTTAGACGCCGCCGAGAACGAACCGATCTTGAGCGGTCGATCAGCGTACGTGGTCAATTGCAGCTTCAGCGCGGCAATGTCCACGGTGCCATCGGACGATTCGCCAATCTGAACGACATCCGCCGAGCTTTCTCGCCACGGGAGCAAGTTGGAGTGGTGCTCGAACGGACCGACAAACACCACCGGCTTGGGACGACCGTCGGGAATGGGCACGTGCAGGCCAAGCGCCAGGACGAGCTTGTGGATGGCGCCGGTGCTCCCGCTGCCCGTGAACAATACAACGTCTTCCGCGCCGCGGCCAGTGATCTTGGCATTCACACATTGAGCCACGATTTGGCGCGTTTCATGGCGGAAGCATGTGGATTGCAACCCTGTAATGGACGTGGTCGTGTGGGTGTTCCCGTACTGCGGCAACACCTCCGTCTGCATGTAATCTTCAATGCATTGCAAGGTTCGACCGCTGGCAGTGTAGTCTGCGTACACGAGAGGACGCACGCCGAATGGAGTGTCAAACGCGCTGTTGCGACCGATGACGGTCGATCGAATGTGGGACAGCAGCGCTTCGCCTTTGAGAAGTCCCGATGCATTGTCATGTTCCGTGGTCGCGTCAGTCAAGTCTTCTTCCAGCTCGTCGCAAAAGGCTCGCTCGGCTGCTTCGGTATGTGCGGAAACTGTGGTGGCAGCCGCCGCGGCAACTACAACATCGTCGTTCGTTGCCATGTCAATTGGATTTGTTTGGTTGTTGACACCCACTCGTGGAGCAATGCCGTTGATTGGCTCGTCTATGATGTCGTGGTTGCCTTTTTTAATTGTCCCGTTGCAATACAAATATCAAGTATAAACTCGCCACTGTTTTTAAAACAATGAAACGCCGCTGAAACCGTTACCCAAAGGTACAAACAGTAAGTTCAACATGGCGGAAGCGCCGTCCAGAGTGCCACCGGCGGACATTGATGTGGCCATATTGACCAAAGAGCTCGAAGTTGAAGTGACAGTAGCATGAATAAGTACTCACATGAGGGCTTTGTAGGTTGCTTTTGCCGAGCAGCTCATCAAATGCACCAAGACACTGCAACTGGACATGGTGGCTGAGCGTGAAGCAGCCACCGCCACTACATTGGAATACCTCTTGGCTCAAGTAGATCTGTACGTTGTTGCCTACTACGTAGTACAATTCTTTGTAGCCCTAAACTCAAAGTGGTGGCAGCAAATTGCTCCATTTCAAGCAAGAATTGCTCAACCACGTCCACAAGGAACTACAACAAACACCACTACCTTTCCGCAATGTATGTACTGTGTCCACACCACTTCCGCTTGTTTCACCACCTCGTGTCGTGTAGGGCCATCCAACGAGCTTCAAAGAGGTATGCACCTTCGGGGTCTCAGTATGGCATTACGTCTTGGCATTAGAGTACAATGGGCAACGATGTCGACGAATCGAACATCCGATCTGCCAGCCTTGTGAGCAATCCCTCCGAGCTGGAAGAATTGGCCCAAGAACACCCTCGGCTTCCCCCCAAAGAGGGCGAGTGTGTGCATCCCATCGATGCTGTCATCGAAGAAGGTAAGCAAACCTCTTCCCAAAACCATGATGCATCGTCCTACTCCTTCCAGCCGCCACTCCACGCATCAATGCCGCAGCGTACATTTTGCAATTCACACGTGTACACGCGCCCGAGAAAGGCCTTCACGACTGTCATTCGGGCGAGAGCTTTCCCTACGAAACGCTTGTGGACGTGGTGGCTTGTCTTGCCCACAACCTCCGCACATTGCATGGTTTCCACGCGGTCGACATCGTGTGGCTTCCCATGGACTCCAACTCGCCACTTCGGTACTGTAAACTGTTGGTCACCCAGCACTTTAAAACTAGTTCCAGCGTATTGGCCCATACAATGTGGATGTGTATAGCACATTTTTAGTCATGCTTGCGGTGTGGACTCTCGGCGGGTCCATTGTGTGGTCGTCGGTGCACCCCCCACTAGTGACTTGGGTTTGCGTGGACTCGACCTTTGACCGCACAAGTCTAACCAGGTCGTCCTTATCCACCCATATTCCCGATGGGACTTTGCATGTACGATAACTATATATACACCTACAAATCATGAATCGACCATTCAATCATTCGGTCTGAAGGTACTCCATGTTGACGCCCCCCTCGAACAAAGCCATTCAGACGTTCTGTACACAGATCTGTTGGTCACACCAGCAACAACCCCCTCGACTGTTCACCCCCTCAAGGCACCCCATGTACGACTAGTCTCCGTGTTTTGATATATATTAGTGTGATTCAACTTGTGGTTTGCAGTGGGTCCTTCCTTCGAAAGTGGCCATGACGTTGCACTTGTCCAACGCCAACAACCAGGACGAACCATCCGTTGAGTTTTCGTACAGCCATGGCGATCTCCTTGCCGCGATGGAAACTTCCATCGGTGTGTTCCGCAGTCGATTTCAGCGTGCGCAGTCGTCGTTCATGTCGACTTTGCCCCTGGCTGCACCAGAATCTCTAACATTCGTCCTCCTCCCGAGTATCTTTTACGGCACCCCCTTGCATTTCTTGACGCCGTCACATGTGGCAGACCTCCCCAAAGCGCTACGCCTTGCCAAGGTGGATCGTGTACTCATTTCCCTCGGCTGCTTACATGACGCCTTTGTAGCCCGCGGTTCTCGTTGCGACAGGATTGCATCTGTCGGAGCTGGTCAAGGCCAACGACGCCATGACCTGCCTGGAAGAAGTCGTATGTATTGGCATGTCCGTGCCCAGCCTTCCACGAACGCTGCGGGCGCTTCACACGTTGAGCAGCAAGTGGCGTCCAGATCTCAAGTTCCGGCGGCTGTACGCGTCCCCCGCCACCGCCGGAGTGTGCATCGAGTCACCGCCCATGGCATTCCCCATCCCCCCCACACAACTTCGTGCCCTGGGCCGAGCCGTGTCAAACGATGTACAAGTGTGCGTCCGAAGTCTGAGCACCGGGGCGACCCTCGGTCCAAAGCAGGTATCGCCTTGAAACCGTCGTTGCATTGCCTTTAGGGGTGGCGTGTAGGTGGGCGAGCTTTGTGTGTGCCGGCTGGACCTCCACCATTTAACGCAACAGTTTCCGACGAATGCGATGGCGTACGTAGACGTGGACGGTCAAGTCCACGGCATCGGGTCCAAGGACGGCATCGTCAACTTGGGCTGCGAGTCGACGACCACTTTGGAGCTCGAAGAAGTGCTGGCGTCTCATCCACTCGTCGAAGACGCCGTCGTCAGTGCCGCCGCCATGACGGCGTACATCAAGCTCGCACCAGCGGCTGCCACGTATGTGGATGATGCCCTTCGCAGCGTGTCCATCTTTGCAGCCAAGCAGATTCCCCCGGCCAAGCAGCTCAGTCAGATTATGCGGGTACTGGACATTCCGCGTCAATTAGACGGGCAGCCAAGTTGCCCCATTGGTTTGTACGAGACGAATCCGGCCTATTGAGTGGTCAGGGATATCATTCCTAACGAAAACGGTCAATTGATGCATTGTACGATACTTTCATTTCGAACAGCTTTGACATCGTGGCGGCGTTAACACCGTTGTTCACTCGCATCAAAGCAGGATGGACAGTTGATTCGTGTGCACTTTGAAGTAGGAGTTGCGCTACTATATATATATATATATAATGATAGTGTGTCGGTTTTGATTGTTTGTTCTAACACTAACAAGCTAAATGTGGTACGACGGGGTGTTGGACCATGGGGACGAGGACGAAGTGCGACCGGTGGGAGTGAGGGAGATTAGCGGCGGCCGCAGAGTCGGCAAGGAACCGTTGCCGTGGCGGAGAGCCATCGGCGAAGGCAGGAACGGCCGTGTGTCGTGGAAGGGTTGGGGCGGCGGCACGACCGTACTGAGCAGGCGGAGATTGCTGTCTTCGGAGGTCGATGTCGGCGTGCGCTGAATCGATCGAAGGCGCTGTGTGATGAGTTCCGCGGGCATGGACTCGGAGAGTTGGTACTTGAGCGACAGGTTCAGGAACAAGCGGAGTTCACGGTTGCGGAAGAGGTCGAGAATGTGGTCCACCTCGTGGACCTTGGACGGATTGAATTTGTAGTAAAAGTTCAACAGTTTTTCTCGATACGATGTGCCAGGGAACTGGATCAGGACGGAATCGCCCATCGACGCCAACGAGCGGCTGTTGTGCGGCGTGGCAAGCCGAGGCGATGGAAGCGTGGGTCGGGCCAGCGACGGTGGCGGGTGGAGGTACGTTGGATGCACGGGTTGGCGCTGGTGGTGCGACGAGGGTTGCGATGCGGAGGACGAAGGCGTGCTACCTGAAGGAACGACGTGGTGAGGTTGGCCTTCTTCCCAACTGCGACGCCTCCGATGGCCCACTTGGCGCTTGCTGAGTGCATCACGGTGCTTTTGAACGTACATCTGGACCTGTTGCGGCGACCGCGTGCCAATGTACTTTGCCATGTCGAGGTACTGTCCGTCGGGGAACATGGTCAGTGCCTGGGTTAATCGGTGCACTTCGTCCTGTGCCCATGGTCCCCTTGCCGAGGACGCGCTGATGTTATTGTCGTTGGTCATTTCAACTGCCTTGGTCTCTGGGAGTCGTCGCATGCTCACTGAGTCGCCTTGCTGCATGAACGTCAATGCAGGTGGCCTGCAAGTCGATGGGTTCGGAAATGAGACATTAACCACCACTATGAAGAGCAAGAAAGGTTCAGTGAAGTAGCTAGTAATACTACGCCCTACGGAATACTATCCACAGAATGTCGCACTTAGCCGAGTTGCCGACTGTGGCCAGTGCTTGAGGCCAGGCAACGTGTGAGGGTAACTGGCATTTTCAACGCATAAGAAATGAGTAGTTACCGTTACAGTGTACTTATCTCGACTGTACCAGTGGCATCAAAAGCTTGGGATACACTCCCTAGCCCCCTTGACTGAGCGGTCTTAACAGTACCACAACGTTCTGCTGTGACTAAGGGTTGGCTTTTCTTGCTTGAGTGCATGTCGGGGGTAGGACACGAGAAATAAATCACTGTGAATGTAAACCGCAACAGCAGATGCGGACGAATGGTCGATACTTCACTGAAAGTTTGGCACATATCGAAAGATCCAAGGGTTTTGGTGCTTCCCTCGGAAAACAACATCGATTCAATTATGGTCGACCCTCACCTTCGTACTAGCAGTTATCGGAATGGTTCAATTGATTGCTTTTGTCAGTTTTCAATTGTACTTCGAGTGATGATGGGGAACTTGCGTTGAAAATACCGGGGTACTGCGTACGTTGGCCAATGGTGTAAGCGCCACTGGGCCAAATTGGTATTTTTCAATTGCAACCTCCTTCTGCCTGCTCCACCCTCTGAACACAATGCCACAGAGCACGCACTCTGTGGCTGCTGTCTAAATTATTCGTAACGTTAACGATAATTGTTACAATATTTAACGTCCAAAGGCAGACATGAAACGTGTCTACCCTTGCGAACCTAAGACTTACAGCCAAAACGTATGAATGCCCCATGTGGTGTAACGGTACGTGCTCCAGGCACACGGGGTGGAAGCACAACGATGGAGCAAACCAGTGGCTTATTAGGGTAACTTTATGGCGGGATGATGAAGGTCTTATATCACAGCCAGGGGGGTATTTTCAACCCTTGCTACAAGAGGCGAGAGGCTATCTTCGCCCGGGGGATGGGCAACTGCAAGTTGGGGGGGGGATTTGCACGCACTAGGAGTTGAGAGTCCATTCCATGTTACGCATGTTACAGTTTGTCGCCAGTGAGAGTATTTTACATGTTAGTGCAAGAACGCCGTGGAAATGATTTGGTGTCAGTGCAAGCTACCGCGTTCACCTAGTAACATAAACCAATACTAACATAAACCAATACTACTAGTATATTGCATATTGACTTCTCGCCCGCTACCGTCATACTAGTAACCCTACCGGTACAACCAAATCTTTAGCGACATGTCTTTGTTGCTTGCTCGTGTTGTATCCGACTTGAGATCCATTGGGTTTGCCTCGATCATTGATGAGTGTTCCATCGTTCGATAATATCGTGACCAGTTATCAGTGGTTGCCCTTCGAAGATCGTGTTTGGAGCGTTGTAATTGGGAGCGCTGTGTGTGGTGGGAGTACGATAGTTTTTAGTCATTGTGATGGCAAGTTTGACCGTTAAAGGCATTATTTGTGCAAATCAATCAAGACTCCATCATGTCATGAAACTCTCCACCGTCCTCTGTAGATATGACGTAAGCGTCGGTGGTTTGTCAAATAATGAAATCGGATGTGTTCGCCAATAAACAATGGTGCATGCCCATGGAGTTCAGAACTTTTCAAGTGTGTTTATGATGGGGTCAGATGATATACAAGAACTTGAACTTATCATGCGAAAGTGGCGAAAGGTCGCGAATCTTCGGATGAAACGTCGCGCGCAATGATTGGTTCCTGATTTTGGCAAGTACCACAACATGACGAAATATCTGTACCTCTTTCAGCAATTCACTCAGTCCATTTCAATTCAGCACCTCCGGTTTTGTCAATTATAGCGACACTGAAACAAGAATATATATTGTAATTTCATAGCAAAATTTGGATAAAGTGTCGCAAGAATGTTGTTTACGACATAGTTTGGCCGCCACAGTCAATTCTCCGACCAGCAGCCATGTCGACTTACGCGGTCCAAGGAATCCTCTACTTCTTGGCTCATCCTAGCCTTTGGCTCACGTTACTATGCCCCACGATCATGACAATCTTGGTGGCCTTATGCTCTGTAATCGGGTTGTTTGCCATCGCGCTGTACCCCACCGCCGTCCTGTACAAAAAGGCTGGACTTCCCGCGGGCTGGGCGTGGGTGCTGGCTGTGGTGACTGTGCTCGCTGAGATCTTCCTCACCACGCTCATCTACTCGTTGACGTGCTCTGGGTGTTTCGTGGACAAGATCTTTGAAAAGGTATTGACGATGCGCGGGCACGGCCGAGTGATCGAAGAAGCCGAAGTCAAGGCGCGCTGCTGTCGTCAATGCAAAGCATGCTGCAACGTCTCGATTTGGCTCCGTCTGGTGGTGTTGGTGGTGACGTTACCCCTGAATTTGATCCCCATTGTTGGCACTATGGCATACGTGTGGCTCAATGCAAGTCTCAAGGGTTGGGAAGCGCACTTGTACTACTTTGAAATGAAGGGGTATCGCTACGATGAGCAAAAGGCCATTTTCACCAAGCGGCGCCTCCAGTACACGTCGTTTGGGATGCAGTGCATGTATCTCGAGATGATTCCGTTCCTCGGCTTCTTCTTCCTCCTCACCAACGCCATTGGCGCGGCGCTCTTTGCCGCAGACATGGAAGAGGAGCTCCTAAATGGCGACTCTACTGCGAACCCCGACAACGCCGGCCTCTCTGAAGAAAAGGAAATGTTCATATAATCTCAACCAGCCTAAGGATATAAATGGACATCCCACGTTTATAATGTACTAGTAGGATCAGCCACAATTTACGCAGGCATTGGCAATTGACGACAGCGCATACGCTCCCCGCCAAGGTCTGGTGTATATGTATGTTTACCTGCCGGCATTGCCTTAGCGAGCAATGGGCTCTACTGTATCAGGCTATTAGGGGGGGTACAGTGACACTCGTGGCCGTGCCGCGACCCCAGGTGGCCCCACTAGTGCATATGTATGTCTGTCTGGAACGGCAGCTCCAACCTCCACTCGAAGGCCCGTCCTCGATTGGTACAGTAGATAACCGGTGGAATTGTATTGGTCAAAATTTAAAAAAATGATACCATTTGATTGGCTGAACAGGACAATCCTGATAAAACGAGTTAACAAAGAGTTAACAAAGAGATGGTGTGCGCAATGCAGTATGCCCTGCAAGGTGTCGCTTACGTCGTTGGCCGTCCACGGATGTGGCTGGTCGTGTCGCTGATGCCGATGGTAGCAGCGCTCATCGTCGGTATATGCAGCGTCGTAGTGCTTTGTACGGCGGGCTTGTTCCCGCAAGCCTATCACTTCGAGCGACTGGGGATGGCGCCGTGGTGGGCCACCTTCAGTTCGACGGCCGTGCTAGTGGGTGAAATGTTTCTGGTGACGATGATCTACTCGTTGGTATGCACTCCACGCATAGCAGTCGTGGTGTTCAACAAGATCCTTGAAGCTCGCGGCCACAGCTCGGTTGTGACCGATGCGCCTTCCCGACGTCCATCTTCAGGTCGACTCCTCTCCGGTCACGTTTGGTTTCGACTCGTAGTGCTAGTTGCGTCGATGCCGCTGCATTGCATACCTGTTGCTGGCACGATTGCATTCGTGTGGCTGAATGGCGGACGGCTGACTCGCTGGGACGTCCACCAAGTGTATTATGACCTCAAGGGCTACACGTACAAGGAGCGCAAGGCTGTGTATGAAACACATCGCGACACGTACAGGTCCATCGGGGTGCACTCCATGTACTTGCAGCTCATCCCAGTGCTCGGGTTTGCGTTTACCTTTACGAATATCGTGGGAGCCGCCCTCTTTGCCGCGGATTTGGAGGACGACTTGTGCAAATCGTCGTCGCAGCCCACCTATGGATCGTACCATTCCGTTAGCAAAGTCAAAATGCTGTATATATAAACATGCATATATCTCCTTTGACCAAAATCATCATCGGGCTATGGCCATGAATAGCAGTTGATACTATGTCATTCTTGGCAGAATCGACATATAAACAGCAGTGTGCAGTACCAAAGCAGACTCCGAAACCTGGTAATGCTATCAACGACGTTCAATACCGATTTGCCTGGCAATGTCGAATACACACTTACTGTAGCTACCGCTCTACCTTTGCATCGTAGGTGTAATCAAATGTTCATAACCATAGTTAACGGATGAATAAACCTGGTCATGTGAAAAAGGCAAGCTCAAAAGATTGTAAGCAAGTTGTATTGCTGGTTATGTAACGTTGCCCTTCACAACCCCCAGCCAGGCACGAGGGAAGATCGTTAGTTTTGCGAAAGTATACCCGCGCAAGACATGCAGCTAGATTTATCACAACTTCCCTATAGATTTATCAATTAGAACAACTTACTTCAAAGTACAAGATATGTAGTTTATATTTATCAATGCTATGAGCTTGAATTGGATTAAAAGATGCCTTTCACGCAAGCCGCCGTGCGCCTCTGCAAGTTTTGGCGCTCGGATTGTAGCTTGGCAATACGTTCTTTCAGTTCCTGTGTGGAATGGTGGTAGGTTGCATGAGGTTGAACACGTCACAAACTGTTGTAACGAGTACCTGGATTTGATCTTGACCGATGTCTTTCGCCGGTGATATCGTTAACTCGAGCATGTTGGCGTCGCCCATCTAATGCGAAGGTAAATAATGGCGGGTCGTGGTCACTAGAACTTCGTGGGGCGTCGCACCTTGGTGCAGAGACGGTTGATCAACTCCACAAGCTTGTCCTTGTCAGCTACGTAATGCATCAGTCCCATGCGTGAGGATGCGCAACAATCACGGCACCGTAAACGTCACTGGCTTCGCACTTCTCGGCTTCGCTAGGATGGGTTCAACTCTGGTTAGTCCATCTTCCTCCACCCCGTCCTCTCTTGGCTGAGACGTACATTTTGTCGAACAAGACATGCACCATCTTCTGCAGCTTGTGGATGTCTTCCTGCATGTGCGTGATTTGGTCGGCCATGTTGAGTTTTCACTAATGGAGATGTCCGTCGCAAAGGTGACGGACAGTCGGGTATTTAGGTATTTGGAATGTTGGAAACCTCTCACAATGAATGTCAACTTTCAAAGGTCAGGTTTGATTGGACGATGAACATATACAACGCCGCGGCTTCCGTGGTGGACCGCGTCCGGGCCAAGCATGGCGGGATTCGATCAGCGCTGTATGCGCTGCCTATCAACCACGCCCTTCGACCCACCGTGCAGGCCCTTGCACAGGAAAGCCTAAAGCACGCAGACGTGCTTGTCGCAGCGGCTACGTCCTGCGGCCTGCTCGCCGCACTGAACACCATCGACGCTGCGGAGCGAGTCGACGCCAAACGCTTCAACACCCTGCCATCGTTTTCGCCAGAAAATCTCCTCGTGGTTCTGGCATATGAGCTACTTATTGGACCTCGGCGAAAGCTGAAAGGAGCGCACACCGGGTCGATCCAACTTGTTCGCGAGGCTTCGCCGTCGTTGACCACGTACTTGGAGACGTACCACAGCGCGTTGATCAAGCCAGTCGTTGCAAAGGTCACAGCTGCGGACAACGCGTTTCCTCGCTACGTTCGCGTGAACACCCTTAAAACGACCCCCGAGGCCGCCAAGGCAGTGTTCGTCAAGGCCAAGATCCCAGTTCACATCCACGAGTTCGTTCCCGAGCTATTGGTGCTGCCCCCTGGTACCAACCTCCACGGCCATCCGTTGATCAAGAAGGGCTGCTTGTTCGTCCAAGACTTGGCCAGCTGTCTCCCGGTCGCATGCCTCGCCCCCCAAGCGAGCGCGCACGACTTCGCCATCGACACGTGCGCCGCTCCTGGCAACAAAACCACCCAACTGGCGGCAAAGTTGGCGTTGGGGAAGCCCAAGAACTGTCGCGTGCAAGTGGTAGCTTTTGAGCGTGCGCCAGCCCGGGCAAAGTCGCTGCGGGCCACCGTCGACAAGGCCAGCGCAGGCGACGTCGTGTCTGTCGTTGAAACCGACTTCTTGACCATCGACGTGGCCGATCCGCGGTGGAGTCCTGCAACACTGGCGTTGTGTGACCCGTCGTGCTCGGGGTCTGGCAACGTCAAGGTCGGCGAAGCCCCCGTGGAACACTCCAAGGAGGATCTGCAGGCGTTGGCCGACCACCAAGTGGCCATCGTCCGCCAAGCCATGTCTCTCCCCAACATGCGCACAGTCGTGTACTCAACGTGTTCTACCCATCAAGTCGAGAACGAGGATGTCGTCGATCGCATCTTGACCTTGTGCAAAGGCACGTGGCGACTCGGCAAGGCGCTGCCGGAATGGCCGCAGCGTGGCGAAGGACCCAGTCGCATGGCGCCCAAGTGTGTGCGCGCCTCACATGCCCAGGACACCCATGGCTTCTTTGTGTGTATTTTCGAAAAAACGGTCGCATTGCCAGTGTCAGCTGAAACTGCAAAGCAAGGTGGAAGAAATGCAGGGCAGACAGGGCCACCAAAATCCTCGAACGACAAGAAACGAAAGCGACAGGCATCGGCGGCGGCTACCCCCAACTCGAAAAAGCTCAAGTAACTAGCTGAACAACGCCTTGGATTGCTAGCTGTACCAGTAATTGTTTTTCATTTATGGTTGACAGCATAAATGAAAAATTTGATCCCAGTTTTTGAAAACAATTCGTCGTTTTTACGAAACATTTGCCAATTTGGATGCGTGTCACTGCCAATTTGACCGATTTCAAAATTTTGGTTGCATGACGGTGGGCGTGCTGTTTGTGTGCTTGGGCAACATTTGCCGCAGCCCTGCGGCGGAAGGGGTATTCAAAGCCATCGTGCACAAGACTCACGACACACCCGGGGACTTTCGCATTGACTCGTGTGGCACGGGCGGCGGTAGTTCAAACTGGTATAAGCCCAATGGGTCGTCGTACCACCAAGGCGAAAGCTCGGACGGCCGCATGAAGAAAGAGGCCAAGAAGCGAGGGTACCACCTGACGAGTCGATCGCGTCCGCTGGTGCCTGACGATCTGCGTACGTTCGACCATATCATTTGCATGGACGGCAACAACGTTCGTGCTGTCATGGAGGCAGCAAAGTTCTGGGGTCCAGAGTTTACTGCCCTCGCCAACACCAAGGTGATCTGTACTACTAGTAATTGTACTAGTAGTCTACTACTAGTACTTAGTGAACCCCTTTCCTCATTCGATGCTCGTTATTAGGTGTCGAAAATGACAACGTACTGTGTCGCAAACACCACAGCCACCCACGTTCCGGATCCGTGGTACGAAGGTGGGTTCGACAGCGTCCTCGACCTCCTTGAAGACGCTTGCCACGGCTTGTACGCTGCTCTATCGGACTCGGCTTCAAAGCAAGCCAACAACACTGCAGAAATTGGGTTCCACTCGTAGTATTACATTAACCAGGTGCCATCGCTTAACACCGTCGTTTTGTCCATGTAATGGAGCTTGCCCACGTCAAATCCTTTCGTTTGTTGGTTTATTCCCAGCTGGAGGCAGCAGGGGCAGGGGTGGACGCATCCCAGCCACCAGCGGCGGCATCAGCGCCCCATTCACCGCCGGGAGTGCTCCATTCCTGGGCAGGTTCCGGGGTGTACAAGTTGGGTTGCTCTTGCGCGGTTTCCGCGGCAACGGCTTCGTTGGACCAGCCGGCACGGGCGGTTTCGTCCGAGGCACCGACAGCTTCTTCGGCCTTGGCCAACTCCTCGGGGTCGCGGTAGAAGAAGAGATCGACGGCAATTTCCCAAGGAAGGGCGCGCGAGATCGTGCCACGGAGACGGAGCACTTCACGAGCCAACAACCAGTACAACAGACCGATCGAGAGCTTGCCCTTGTTGTTGGCAGGGATGGCCACGTCGACGTAACGCAACGGCGAGTCCGAGTCAACAAAGGCGATCACGGGCACGTTGACATAGGCGGATTCACGCACGGGCTGCGAGTCGGTGCGGGTGTCCGTGATGATCAACAAGCGGGGTTCGCGGAACTGCTTGGTGATTTGGTTGGTGAACGTACCAGGGGTGAAGCGGCCGGCAATGGCTTGGGCGCCGGTGTATTGGGCGAACTTCAACACGGCGCGTTGACCGTACGGGCGGGCCGAGATGGCAATGACGTCCGCGGGGTTTTCCACGGCCACGATCACCTTGGCGGCCAACATGAGCTTTTCCCAGGTTTGGCCCACGTTGATGATGTGGATGCCGTCGTTGCGGCGGCGCCAGATGTAGTCACCCATTTGGCTGTCGGCGTTGCGCGTACCGATGTGCACCATGGCGGCGAGCATCTTTTGGATGTCTTCTTCACGTTGGGTCAACACCATCTTGCTGTTGGGGGGTTTGAACTAAAGCGATGAAAAGGATTAGTGCACCCGACTCTCGCTCGTGTCGGCCAACGCGCCAGCCAACCAAAGGCAGTGGCCAATTAGGTTCGCGACGTATCCGGATGATTGATCACATGACCGGATAATACGACTTCACTTTTTTCGCGATGCGGAGATGCCGACCTTCATAGCCAGCACCTTTGACCGTGCTGCATCAAGAGTGTATTCAAGGCGACGAGATTGATTTACTAAGTACTGGGCACACACTAGCTCAGTCTGTGGATGCAAACGCGTGAGGTTTCGGTCGGTACTGAGGGCTGGCGCCTTTGAACGAGTACTTTTTGAGTTTGACCTTGGTTGGGGGGTCGAAGGGAAGGTGGAGGACATTGCACATGCCAGCGCGCAGAGATAGCCACTCCATGCGGGGTTCTCCTAAGTACCTCACTTGGTTCATCCGTCTGGACGAGTCCCAGTCGGTTACTTTTGCTCGAAACCAGTCATCATACCCGAGCCAGTACACTTCAACAATTGCCCCCACAAGCGTCGGACCTTCTGGAAACGGCGGCAGGCCATGGTGGTTGTTCGTAGGTCGCGGAGGCGGGTATGGCTCTGCGCTTGATGGCGTCGTCTGTACGAGCTGGCTTTCTGCGGAGGCCACCTTGAGAACCATGTCCGTGACAAGGGTCTTGACTGGAAATCGACCGCGACTGTACAGTCGTGGCGTGACTTCGAACGGGCTATAGTACTGCTGCGATCGATTGTTCGATGGGGATGTTGTGGCAACGGTACACGATGGAGGAGGGGGGGTAGTGACCACACGCTCTTTCCACACATGCCATTCCAGCAAATATGACGCCGAGTCCAACACGAACGAGTAATCGTCCAGCTTTGCGTCCAAGACGACTGCACTGCGGGTGGTGGTGGACGATGGCAACGCTTCCAGAACAAGGTCTTCTTCGGCGATGAAGCGCTTGGCGCCCACAATTCGATCGACGGGCATGTGTTTTTCGCAATACAATGCAAACGGCGCCACAGGCGTCGGGGGCACGGCCGACAAGTCTGCTGGCGCGCCGATCCAGAGCCCCGCGTCTGCCGCGCAAGAGATGTGGAACGCCGTGCCGCAGCCGTCCACTTCGCATGCGACGACAGCGCCGCCCTTGCGTTTGCACAAGTTGCACATGGACCGAAGGCGCGTGGGATCGATGTCCGACATGCCGTCCACGGGCTCCATGGTCGGAACGTCGCGAAGAGTGAGCTCGGGAATTCCTAGAGCGCAGATGACGTGGGCCCACCGGCCGTCCGACGTCGGTTTGATCGCGCCGCCCCGGTCCTGCAGGCACAAGCAACATTGAAGGGGTGATCCGTACACACACGACGGACAGTGCCAAGGTCCGTTCGGGTCTTTCCGAAGGACCATGCCAAAACACTCTTCGTGGATGCGAGTTGAACATGCCGGGTTGCCACACGCCAACACACGACCGCATGACCACAAGCCGCAGCAGATCTCGCATTGGTCCCGGGCGACGGGGTGGGGGATGTAGCACGCGTCCACGTATTCGCGGATCTCGTGCAAGAGAGCAAGGTCAAGGTCATCAAGGTTGACAACGCTGCTGCCTTCCCAGTTGCTGGATTTGATCAAGTCCCAGTCTACGGGTTTGAAGGGGTGGTCGTGCCTGAAGACGACACGATCTGGGTATGCCACGTGGCATCGCAAGAGCACGCCCTGGAGGTCCGCCGACGACAGAGACGCTATGTCCTGCGCTAGACGCCTCCGTTCATCCCAATCCATCGTCTATCCATGATGACAACCGTGATAACTTTGCAAGTCGAGTCGGCTTACGCACCTGGTGGAGCTGACGGCGTGAAATGCTTTGGTGGGTCGTATCCGGATGACAGTTTCCGGAACTCGAAACATAGAACCAAAAAAGATCGATTTTTGACATCCACATCAACCAAAGAACATGACAACGTGTGCGATTCCGCCCGACCTTCCTCCGCTGGAATTCCTCGAGGAAGTCGAACTGCTCAGCGTTGAACCTTCCTCCAGCACTTCCACCAAGTCCTCTTCCATGTGTGAGAAGATGTTCAAGCCAGCAGCTGCTGCATCCTCCGAGTCCAACGCATATCAACCTTCACCGACGGAGAATCCAATTTTCGTGCACGTTGTCATGATGGCATTGATACTCTACCTAGGAGCCTGTGCGTACGCATACCTGTGCCCTCCTACGACAGTTCCTTGGGAAGTCGAGTTCGCTCTTCCCATGCAGAATCTGTCATCCAACTGCAGTGTGAACATCGTGCATCCTTTCGAAGGGCAAGTCACGTCTAAGAACGTCATTGAGTTCGAGCTGCACGCACCTTCCAACACGACCAATACGAGCCAGATCATGCAGTACACGATCCACGTCGACGGTGTCTTGCTCATCACGGACTTGGCCATCCTCCATCGAGGCAACCCAACTCCATTCACCACCGACAGGCTCCAAGCCCTAACGAACGGCGATCACGTTGTCACGATAACGTTGGTGGTCCCATTGCCCGGAGGCAGGGAAGATGTCGTGCACGTGGAGCGGCAGTTCCACTTCGTGCCCCCTGGCTCGCGCATTGTCAAGCTGTCATTGGCCAAAGAGTTGCGCCGGTCAATAACCACATTGAACACCTGCAACGTCCACGCCGATTCGTGCAATGTCATTCGAGCTCCGCTCAACGGCACATCGTTTCCGGCGAACTCGACCATTGCGTTTGAAGTGGACACCGCCGCACTCCCTCGACTGGGCATGGCCGTCTTGTTGGACGGAATCAAAGTCAAAACGCTGCCAGCCCAACCCTCGTCTTACCTGACATCAAAGGACCAAGTACAGTGCCGTGGTGTGCTCGTTGGGCTGCATCCTGGCACCCATACGCTCCAGGTCGTACCGTTAGATGACATTCCACTCACTCCTGTCGCTACTGCTAAGGTGGTGTTCCACGTCATGGCCGAATGAAAACACAAAACAAATTGTGGCAGCCCCAAAAATGGTTGTCCCATATATAGATTACGTAGCAATAATCTATATATTTATTCGGAAGAGCGAAGGATGTCCGAGTCACCGGCGTCCAAGACGACCAACGACGACACGCGGAAGTACTTGCCGCACGCCGTACCAAGGTCGTTGTTGTTGCCAGCAAAGTGGTGCACACCGGTCTTGGCCAACATGGAGTAGTATTCGATTTCGGACTTGCGGAGAGGAGGGGTGTTCGACGACAAGATGACCAACTTGGCTACAACCACATTATATAAGTCACGTGGTTGAAGACATATCGATAGATGGTTGTGGAGAAGGACGTACCCTTGCCGTTGCGCAAGTTCTTCAAGGTTTCCTTGTACCCGAGGGCGACCTTACCGGAGCGCATGACCAATTGCAAGCGCGAGTTGATGTTGTCAACAGCCTTTTTCTGAAGGAAAGAGAAACGAAGCGTATGAGACAACGGATCAAGGAGGGGAGGAGTCGCGGAGTTGATGAAGGTGGGCGTGGTGGCAACGACGTTCGAAGTCTTGCCAACATCGCAGGCTACCCGAGGCAGCCTGCGTTGTGGGAAGGAGAACGACACACGAGGAAAACTCGGCGCATTCACCCCGTCAGTCGGCCAGCAGCACGCACGCGTTCCACTCCAACGATAGATAGTCGCATCATACCGTCTTCTTAGTGGCCACCATCTTGATGTTTTACAGCTACTTGGGATGTGCCGAGATTCATCCAACAACCAAAAGCCACTTGCACCAACCACCAACCAACACCAATAACGTAATTGGAATCTTTTCAACCAATGAAATACCGTTAAAGGTGATTTCGTAACCAGATTGGTTCCCTTTTATCCGAATTTGATTATTATCCGGATTATTAATACCAACCCGAGTCTGGGTGCCAAAATCAGAGAATTCCCATTTCAAATGGGAGGTGAAAAAATATTTTCGAAATGTATTGTGCTTTCGAGTGAAATGGCGTGATTAATCGACAAAAGAACACTCTATTGAATATCATATTGGTAAATATGGACAGTTGCAGTTCACAGTCAAACTGTTTTCTGTCAAAAACCAGTAAAAATTCGAATTATTATATCAAAATATATATGTCGGATTTGGTAGCCAAACCCACACACAAAAGCTGTTGTTTGAAAAATTGTCATAATATTTCTGAAAATTTGCAAAATTCAAGAGGTGTTTTCTGACATTTTTTGTGGCAGCCAGAGTAGTTATCCTTTTATGCGGTCTCATACAACATATCCTGAATGAAGGATGCTTGTGCTTGTTTACTGAAATGTCATACCATGATCATATACAAAGCGAATAATGTGAATTAGCAATCGACGATGGCTTAATCTGTGCCAGTTTCGGGCCGGAATTTGCGCTCCTTTTTCATTTTTTCCACCATTTGCCGATCTTCGTCGAAACGTTCCCGCAGCGTTTTGAGCTCTACAACGACAAGGTTAACCATACATATCGTGTTCAAGCAGCATCGAAAACACGTACGGCCGCGCTTCTTTTCGCGGAGCTGGAACCGGTAAAAGTCCTGTAACTCCTTGGACTTTTGTTTCTTTCGGTAGGTCAAGAGGTCTTCTTGGTCGACTCGCTTTCGCTTTGTGTTGACGACGGTTTGGAATCCATCCGCATCCACACGAGTCTTGAGTTGCTCTCGCTCTTGCCGCTCCTATGATCCACATGTCATAACCAGTACCAGATCGTCGCGGGAAGGACTCGTACCGCAGCTTCTTCAGCATCGAAGTTCGCCATGAACTCATCCGCGCGTGCTTTGAGGACATTTAGGCCAGGACGATCTGCTTTGTACTTCTGGATGGCGGCTTCAAATGCGTCGTGGACAACGTCGGAACCAGGGAACGCAGGCAGTACCGATCGTTTCAGCAACTGCTTCAAAGTCGCTTTCGACTTGAACACAACGTGAGCACTGGACGCAACGGTGCCGTCACTGGCTTTGCCCATCACAACAGACTGCACGGCCCCGACTTCGTTGAAGAGCTCCTTCACCTGCTCGGCCGTCGCAAAGAGGGGCAGGTTTACAACATACGCCGTTCGGTCCGCTGCCAGTTCGGTCTCTTCAGTGCCTTCCGACTTGGTGATGTGCTTCTTCACATACAAGTAGCTGGCAAATGCGCCAGGGAACGGAAGCGCCGTGTATCCTGCGATAGTTCGAGGCATGGCACGGGTGTGTATGTTGTTGCTGTGACAACGACCCAATAGTCCAAACGAGTTTCCACCATTTGATTCGTTCATTAATATCCAATCCATTGCCATTTAACAAAAAAAACCAATTCCATTGGATAAAATACGTATTGCGTAACCGACACTGCCTTTCGCACATATTTACTGTCGCGGCCACGGCGTAGCGGACGGCGAAGTACTGTATGATCTTAGATCCGTCGCAGGCTACTTCAGACACCACGAACGTCCCACCGAGGGGCAATGTACCTGGCATATTGAACGCCGACGCGCTGCGGGAACTTTTCCCTTCTTCTCCCATCAAGCAGAAAAAACGTGCCAGACCAGTCGACTCGAAACTGAACTCCACCAACAACTCTAGCCACCGCCGCCAATTTCTGCAAAAACCTACAAACGAACGCATTACATCTTCATACAAGGAGCGCGCATGGTTTCAGCAAAAGATTCCCAACAGCACCCTCGTCCATCACGATCTACGCTACCATACGTTTCGCGCCGCGTTAGACGCGGCCATCGCCACCGCTGCCGTTGGCGAGCATGTCCGATGGATACGAAACAATGTCCCGCTACGTTCGATGCCGAAAGCTACCTTATCCAATCACACCAAGATTTCGTCCTTCATCGATGTCCTCCGCCGCATCCTTCATGCACGGCTTCACGCAGCCTTTTTCCTTTGGCACGACGAAGTCCAAAGCGACAAGCATTCTGCCGCCGTCGCCCAATTCGTCCGAAGTGAGGCCGTGCAGTCCCTCCAGGATATTTGGGAGCATGCATGGCAACGCAAGCGGGATCTGTCCTTCACGAAATGGCGGCTTGAAGTCGCGTTCTGCCGCGACGAAGAAGGACATGCCGCTGCAGCCAACATCCAGCGCTGCGTCCGCCGGTTCCAATGCCGCCATGTACTCTTCAATATGCGACGAACACGAGCCGCCATCCAATTGCAGTCCAATTACCGCCGCCATACCACATCCAAAGCCTTTCGCCGGTCGATGCATGCAGAATCCGTCCGTCGTGCGGTCACCGTCATCCAGGCAGCCTACCGTCGCAAGCGGTCACGACGCACATTTCTCAACGCCCTTCTTGTGTATGTTCAAACGCAAGCTGCAGTGGTTCTACAGAGGTGGATGCGAAATACCATCTACCGCTCGCAGTGGCTGCGGCGACGAGGCGCCAAAGTCCTGGCCTGGGAGGCTGCCACATGTATCCAGCGAACTGTACGGGCGTTTCTGGCTCGTCGATGGTTCCATCGCATCCGACTGTATAAACGTGTGGCCACCATTCAACGTGCGTGGCGTCGGAGTTGGCGCCTTGCCCAAGGCCCGCTGCAAGCCTCGATCGCTGTCCATTTGGAGTTCATTCGATTCGGCATACAAACCTGCCATGCTACAGTGCTCCAGGCGTCCATCCGAGGGTTTCTAGGACGAAGATACGCTGCCAAGAGTCAACTTATGAAACAAAGCGCGCGATGCCTGCAGAAAGTGTGGCGGGAATATGTAGCGAGGCAGCGTCGATCCAAGGCACGACAAGAGCGGCGGTTTCGCCGCATGCTAGCCGCCCACTGCATTCAAGCCACTTATAAGGGATATCGTGAACGAGTGCTGTTTCGACTGGCCTTGTCCACGTCGTGCGTTGCCATGTACCTCCGAGCGTCTCGCCTCGAGGTACGAAACGTACAATGTCGATTTTCAAATGACTAAGATGTTTGGCCCTTTCGTAGTCCATGGCGTCCCAACTGGCATTCCGCGAGCATTTCCACGGTGCTATCGCGAACAGCGCGTCCAGTGCGATTGCTACGACTTGGCGACGGCATAGGCTGCGAAAGGTGGCCCGACTTGAGGCGTTGAGTGCTGCGGCGGTCGTCGTGCAGACGATCTATCGCAGCCAACGAACCCAGCGCTGGTTCCGCAAATATGTGGCCAGTGTCCACCGGAGCGCCACGTCCATCCAGCGCATGGTGCGGTCTCGGTTGGCCAGAAACCACGCGAAGACTCACGTGGCCGCGATGAAGAAGGTTGTGGAAGAGGCTAAGGCAGCGCGGTGGAGCCAAGCGGCGCTGCGGGTGCAGGTGGCGTGGAGAAAGAAGAAGGGGCGAATGTCTTTGCACCTTCGTCGACGAGCGCAGGAAGCAGAGGCGGCGCGACGGATGGCCAGTGCCAAAAGGATTCAGGTACCGAGATGTAGTACCAGTACGACTGGTGGTCATGACAATCCACATGCTAGCGATTCCTGCGGCACACCCGACAACGAAGACAGAATCAACGGAGTATGGTGGTCGCCATGGTTCAGATTACGCAGAAAGTGGCAGCGAGACATGCTGCCGCCAAGCGCATCCAGCATAAGTTCCGAGCGTACAGAGCTACTCGCCTCGGCAAGGTATACTCCAGACCTGCGTACTCACAAGGATGAGGATGGGATATGCTTAGGCCATGTTGGCGACGTTAAAGCTAAGCCGAAGGAAGCGGGAGAGACGACAGGCCAAACAAAAGATCATTGCAGAGTACTTAGTGGATTCAGCGGCAGCGCGAGAGCAAGAGCATGCACTGATGGTAAAAGTCACGTCGAATCATAATGCAGTGCAAGGCGAGAAGGACCGGAAGACTGCTGAGGCCGCGGCGGCCAAAGCGGAACGTCGGCGCTTGGCACTCTTGGCCGCGGAGACAACTGTGCGCCACCCACCACAGACACCACTCAAGAACAAGACAGCGGGCAAGAAAGGCAAAGGCGAATGGGTCGAAGCTTGGGATGATGCGACCAATCGAAAATATGTGTACAACACCAAGACTGGGGAAAGCAAGTGGTCGCAGCAGCTACCCGGTGTATGGGAAAAAATAATTGACAATTAAATACAGAAAATAATTTATTGCAAAGCGCTGGACAAATACAATACTTTATCTTATCATTTGTGAAGAAATATATTTGTTCATTTAAATAATTGACAATTCGACAATTAGACAATTAAATATATAAATGCTGCAAGCAATACAATAATTGTATTGGCCATGCTCTGCAATACTTAGTGAATTGTTTTTACTCCGGAAAATTGCTAAAAAATATATTTTCCCATGCCCTGCTAATGGGGCCAATAATGTACTAGTAATATTAATATAAAATATTGAGAATTTGGCAGTTTCGAAACTAGTTCGGTGGGAGTTGGGAAATCATAGGCTGATGAGCTCGGAAATACTCTATCAAGCTCGGAATAAGGCTGACTTCATCAAGCTGGCTGAGTACTCCAAAGGAAATAATACAGAGGTGAAGGAAGTTTCGTTGGTTGCATGTCTATAGTTACATCCGAATACATTTTGAGGTGAACTATTGAGAAATATTGTGGATTGCGAAATATTTAGCCGGATATTAGACAAGGTCAAGAAACTTCCTGTTTCGCCCTTGTTTCGCGAATCTGGAACTATTCATTTTGTTGTACTTCCTCTGTTCCACACTACTACTTCGACACGTCTTGTCACCGACCCCAAAAAATCATTTCAAATTCAATTTCGATGTAGGGTATCATATTTTAAAGATGACAAAAACATAAAAACTACTGGTACCATCTATTGCCTGCCAATCGCTACAACTAACTGTAAAATATCTTGCTCAAAATCGACTTCGAATATCACCCATCCGAATAAAATCACACCACATAATGAAACCAGCTTAATTTTGAATTTGCCGCCATGGAGAATCAAGTCGAACATACCCACCGAAAGCTCTCGATCAGCAGCGACAAAGTGACGGTCATCAAACACCTTCAACCCAAGGGCAAACTAGAGCGTGGTGCATACAAACAAACACAAAGCTGGCAAGGTTGGGCCCAAGCGAACGTATTCCCCTGACAACGTCCAAGAACTCGATCAATCCGTGCCTGTCGACCAATGCTCCACGCTCAGCGACATCGCCGCAATCACTGACTTGTCCCTGGGGACCCTGAGTCGCCACCCGAAGAAGGGAACGTTCCAAAGACGCTCAACACTGATCAAACCAGAGGCCAACAAGGCAGAACGCGGGGGTTCTCGTTTTAGGCGCATTCGCCTCTGGCGCATTGTCCGGTTAAATTGTATCCGGCAATCATCCTAATTTCGGGACTATTTGGAGAATTACAAATGTCAAAACTAGGCAAAGCAGAATTCCTCAATCGTGTGGCAGCGGGGATGAAGGATGCCAAGCGTAAGCGGGATTACAACCGAGAGACACGGACATGCATGCTCTGTGGGCAGTCGAATGTCAATTATCGCAAAGACAACATCATTAAGCACCTTATCAAGCACAGAAACGACGCCCATTCACAAGCCATTGAATGGGACGGTGCAAAAAACCCTCTGCTACCGCGTCAATACTTTGAGGAGCGCGAGGATGTTAACTTGCCATGTTGCATTGACGAAAAGTCCGAACCTTCCGAAATAACCACCAACCAGAACGGTATCTCATTTCAGCGTACAGTAGCTCATGTAATGTGTTAGGTGATGGCGACGTCGATGGTGATGACGATTTCGATGCGCATTTGGAGCGACTGGATAGTTTGCCGGTTTCCTTTCACTCCGAAATCATCATTCGAATGCTTGGGAGTTTATGCAAACAACGCGGTCTGTCTCTACCACCAGTTCCCACTAAAGCGGAGTCAACCCAGACCGCCGTTGCAACTGCAAGAGAAGTTTTGAAGCCAACAACGCGTGCCAAAAACGACAAAGTGACGAAACTTTTGCGAAGCTTGGGTCATGTGTAGTATTGCAGTAGCTATTATCTTGAGCTGAAATACTGACACCTCATTACTACTGTGTTTTGGCCTCAGAAAACATGGTCAAACTTTAATAAACTCAATCGAGCATACAACAAATAA